ACCTCCTACCTTCGGAAATTTAGTGTCGTCAGGAGAAAAATTGGTTGAAAAGGGTTTTTCCAATATTAAAACCAATTATACGAATCACGATTGCCTGGGCGAACGAGCTATTCTTGCGGCCAAGAGCCGAGAAGTCTACCTAATTAACCATACTATTCAGTCTAAGGTACAAAGCGGGGCAGTTCCCATTCACCTCCGTCGACACTGTTGTGGAACCAGGCAAGGTAGTTAATTGTCACACAGAAATTTTGAATTCACTTAATCTGCCAGGGACGATGGCGCGGTTACTGTGATTGAAAATCGGTGTGCCGGTTATAATGCTGCGAGAAATCAACCAGCCGAAGCTTGCCAACGGCACGTGGCTTGCAGTAACCCCATTAGTGAACAACGTACGGGGATCCAATATCTCGACAGGACCATTTAAAGGAGAGCATATCTTTATTACTCGCATTCCACTGATTCCAACTGCCATGCCATTTCGATTTAGGATACTGCATTTCCCCATTCGACTGGCGTTTGCATTCACGATCAGCAAAGCACAGGGCCAGTCCTTAGAATTGTGCGGTTTTGGATCTGCAAACGAACTGTTCTCACATAGTCAATTATACGTTGCGTGTTCCTGAGTCCGCAAACTAGACAATATTTGTGTCTGCGCAGACAACGCAACGGCAACAATACCTTATATCCACAACCACTATGCACTTAAGCATATAAGAAACGTGTCCCTCTCCTCTTTTCTTTCTATTACACTTCATCAGACTGAGCCACAGCAACGCGTGGCGGGGTCCGGCTAGTAAATGACTATTTATCTAGCATGAATTTTTTCATTGATTTTTCGATGCCCCTAAATGTCCAATTATAATTTATGGAAATCGGGCATAAAATATTCATTCTTTTGCTCATTCAGTAGATAATAACGACTTCTTCTAATTAGATACTCGAAGGAGAGACATAATTCAGTTCTAAAATAGTTTGTTATTGTGGGACTTTTGAATACCGTGAACTGACCGTTCATAAATTGTCATATCTCTGCAGTAACCAATGTGGCTTGTAAATTTAACGGTATGAGTCAAATCCACCGCTTAATTTTATGAACCCTATATGGCCCCCTTTACTACCGTAGAGAAATGTGTGGTTTTCCGTAGGCGGAAAATATACGGCTTGTGGTTCCGAAACCCTAAATGCAAGTATGAGGTTAGAGCGGATTCAAAATTTTCCGGGAATTGGAACTGTCTGAAACTCAACGTAATCCGGTATTCAGAAACGGTACAAATTGATTCCATGGGAAAAAAGATTCGTTGTATACGCAAAGTGGTATGATTAAAATTACAAATGTCAACCTTATTTAAATTTATTAAGCACTGACATGTCTCTTCGTGAAAACTTTCCACCCACGACGTCCTTATCGGGAAATCAAACAAAATTCTGTTTGCATTATTGAACCGCATCTCAATCAATTCAAAGGCGTAAATAATATCACGAAGCCTCGAGAAAATCTCTTGGAATCTACACTCAGGATGTAGGTTGTTGGCATACCGTCTTGCATGTGTTTTTATTCTCTTTGGAACTTTATCTATGAGCATGGATATTGGATCCTCACGTTGATATCGGTCTGCAAGTTATTAGAGATCGTTTCTAAATTTCGACGCCCAATCGTGAGTAAGGAAACGAACAGTACGATTTCAACGTTATGGCAAGTCAAGAAGATTATTAGGATGATGACTGTCATGATGAAGAGATGGATTGATGCTGACTTCTTTTCCTTCACTATGGCATGAGACAGCCTACCTGGTGTGGTGGCCCACTCGGGAATAGTTGAAGTTAAAACGGACACTTGCCTGTTGAGAAACAAACCACACATATAATCAAGACTGCGTCAGTGAAGGCAGTTTTTGCCCCGTTGGCACACGACAGTTCGACGGCCGTTTCCAATGATGTCCACCTCGTGCTTCACAAGAAGGTGAGAACATGGACACTGACTTGCGCGTGACATAGTTTATAGTGAATGCAGACTTTCGGAGCACCTACCGCACTTTCTTATCTTCCCTCACCCATGTCAAGACATAATTTACAAGATCAGAGGTGGAGGAGGACGCAGGTGGCTGGCATGGCCGAAGCCGCGCCTAGGCGTGCCGCCAACGCCCTGCTCGGATGCAACAGAGTGGGAGTGCCATGAAGGCCACATTAAAAAGGAGCCATTGCAGCCTGACTCCTAGACCGCCAGACGGCCGCTGCACACAAACACACACAAAACTGGGACGACTGTGATTTCCAAGTTATCCCGTCAGTAGGCAGCCTTCCAAGCCACGGCTTTTAGCGCACCGTGATTCGTCGACCGCACTCTCCCTTCCCATTCCAACACCCCAGCCACTGTCCGAGCCGGTCAGCAGACTGGGGTGAGGAATGGACGCGGTGGCTGGCATGGTCGACTGACCATGTCTGCGGGCGCCAAGAGCACGACCTGCCCCCCCCCACACACACACACGCACACACACACACACACACACACACACACAAACACACGACAGTTCGTCCGTCGATTTCGACGATGTCCACCGTATTCCCCACAGCTGCAGCAGCGGTGGGAGCAGGGACAGTGACTTACGCAGGGGGTTATAGTGCCAGTAGACTTGCGTAGAATCTACCTACACTCTCTCCTCCTCCCCCGCCTGGGCACGGTGTCAAGACAGAGTCAAGAAGACCGGAGACGAGAGAGGCCGCAGGTGGATGGCTCGGACGGATCCTCGCCTTGGCGTTCCACCACACCCCCTGGTCCACACAACAATAACCAGGATTTCAACCAACACAACAGACATTTGGAGGCTGGCACGGCCGAAGCCGCACCTAGGCGTGCCGCCAACGCCTGGCTCGGATCCCACACTGTGGTGAGAGTGCCATAAAGGCCACATTAAAAAGGAGCCATTGCAGCCTGACTCTCAGACCGCCTCCCGTTAAGGAGGAGGTCCAAGTTATCCCGTCAGTTGGCAACCTTCCAAGCCACGGCTTTTAGCGCACCGTTATAGCTTCAAGCGCGTCAGATTGTTTATAGTGAGGAGAAAGTGCGCTGAGTCGTCGACCTCATTCTCCCTTCCCATTCCCACACCTCAGCCGCTGTCCGAGCCGGTCAGCAGACTGGAGTGGGAAATGGGCGCGGTGGCTGACATTGTCGACTGACCATGCCTGCGCGCGCCACAGCACGACCTGGCCCCCCATACACACACAAACACCAGGGATTCACGCACCGGGGGTTGGACGGCGTGTCTCTCACTTGCGTGAGAGTGCCGTGGAAGGTGCTGTTGCAGCCCGTCCCCAGCCCACCAGTCCGCCACTACACACAACACACACACACAACGTGACGGACTGCGTGAGCCGAGAGCGGGCCTCAATCAGCAACCTTCGTATCCACGACGCTTGACGTGTCGGGATAGTCTCGGACACAAGTCACCCGTGCAGCCGAAGCAGCATGGAGACCGACTCGAGATGCACACTTCCCACTTGCGTGGGAGGCGGCAGTTGAGTGCATGAGGAGTGTGAGGGTTGATGTCTGGTGGGGTGATGGTGTTAGGAGGTAGGGAGTGAGGAATGTGTGGTGTGACCGGCGGTTGTCTACCGCAGGTCGTCGTGGATGCGCATGTGGCCGAATAGACCCATGCGATGCGTGAAGGTGCGAGGGCAGTGTGGGCAGTGAAGACGAGTGCGGTGGGTGTAGGTTGGTGCTCCAGGCACTGGTTCGCCAGTCTCTGTGCGATGGATTCGCAAGTGACCGACCAGGCCGATGCGTGAGGTGAAGGTGCGTGGACAATGTGGGCATGAGAGGTTGGGGGTGTCGCTGTCAGCTGCAGAGGAAACAGTGGTGTTGGTGGTGGTGGTGGTGGTCGGCTCGTGTGACGGTGGAACGAGGTTGGGTCTGGGCATGGTAGATGTGTTGGATGTCGTGGCTGTATCGGAATTGTGGTCAATTCCGCTCTCGTGGATGCGCATGTGGCCGAATAGGCCCATGCGATGCCTGAAGGTGAGAGGGCAGTGTGGGCAGTGAAGACGAGTGCGGTGAGTGTAGGTTGGTGCTCCAGGCACTGGTTCGCCAGTCTCTGTGCGATGGATTCGCAAGTGACCGACCAGGCCGATGCGTGAGGTGAAGGTGCGTGGACAATGTGGGCATGAGAGGTTGGCGGTGTCGCTGTCAGCTGCAGAGGAAACAGTGGTGTTGGTGGTGGTGGTGGTCAACGCGTGTGACGGTGGAGCGAGGATTGGTCTGGGCGTGGTGGATGTCGTGGCTGTATCGGAATTGTGGTCAATTCCGCTCTCGTGGATGCGCATGTGGCCGAATAGACCCATGCGATGCCTGAAGGTGCGAGGGCAGTGTGGGCAGTGAAGGCGAGTGCGGTGAGTGTAGGTTGGTGCTCCAGGCACTGGTTCGCCAGTCTCTGTGCGATGGAATCGCAAGTGACCGACCAGGCCGATGCGTGAAGTGAAGGTGCGATCGCAGTGAGGGCAGATGTAGTCCTGGCCCTCACGTCTGATGATGGAGGTTGCAGGGGTTGTGCCGGTTGTTGTACCAGGTTCGGCAGTGGTGAAGTCGTGGGCGACAGACGCCGAAGCGGCCGTCGTTGTGGCAGTGAAGGAGGAAGAGGAGGAGAAAGGGGAGGAGTGAGGGGTGGTAAGGTCGGTGGCGTCGATGTCGGCTGTGGAGTGGTTAGTGGGTGCACAAGATGGTGGATTGGGAGTGGGGCTCGGCGGGGTGGGTGTGTCAAGGCTGCGGTCAATTCCGCTTTCGTGGATGCGCATGTGGCCGAATAGATCCATGCGATGAGTGAAGGTGCGAGGGCATTGTGGACAGTGGAGGCGAGTGCGGTGGGTGTAGGTGGGTGCTCCAGGCACTGGCGATGGATTCGCAAGTGACCGACCAGGCCGTTGTGTGAGGTGAAGGTGCGGTCGCAGTGAGGGCAGGTGTAGTCCTGATCCTCATCAGTGGTATCGGGAGAGGTGGGAGAGGTGATGTTGGTTGGTGTGTTGGTGTTGGTGATGTGTGAGACAGCAGTCTGAACGGCCGCCGCTGGGGCAGTGGAGAGGGAGGAGGACGACGAGGACGAGGAGGATGGAATTGGTGGTGCAGAAGGAGCGTCAGAGTTAGTTGGCGGAAGGGAGGAGGAAGAGGCGGGCGGGGGGACGATGGCTGGAGCAGTTCGAGAGGTGCAGTTGGTTCGGAGATGTCCAACAAGTCCGATTCGTGCCCGGAATGTCCGTTGACATCGAGGACACGTTGGGAGCGGTTGTGCGGCGGCGTTGCGGACTGGACGAAGTTGTGATTTGCGGACTTCGCGTTTCGCTTTGGCGGCAGCGATTCGGTTGGCTTCATACATAGCAGCGCCCGTCTTCACTGTTCTCCTCCATGTCGGACGATCGCGAGCGAGCTCTTCCCAGTTGGTCGGGTTGATTTGCAGGCGCTTCAGGGAGGACTTCAGAGTATCCTTGTAACGGCGAATTTGGCCTCCTTGACGACGAGAACCCGTCGCGACGTCTCCGTAGAAGAGTCGTTTGGGTAGTCGCTCGTCGTCCATGCGCACCAGGTGGCCGCTCCAGCGCAGCTGCATTTGTCTCAGTATGGCGTAGATGCTGAGGATTCCCGTTCGTTCCAGTACTTCCGTGTCGGGGATTCGATCCTGCCAGTTCAGACTCAGGATGCGACGGAGACAACTGAGGTGGAAGTGGTTCAGTCGACGTGCCTGTCTCGTGTACACCGTCCATGTCTCTGCTCCGTACAGCAACGTCGGCAGGATGACGGCCTTGTACATCTTCAGCTTCGTGCTCAGTTGGAGACCATGGCGGTTCCAAACTGTGTTTCGGAGACGACCGAAGGCTTGACTGGCTTTCGAGATCCTGTTGGCGACTTCGTCATCAATCTTGGTGTTGCGGGAGAGGGTACTGTCCAAATACGGGAAGTTCTCCACCACTTGCAGTTGATTTCCGTTCACGCTGATTTGCGGCGGCGCGTTGGGGACTGTGGCTGAGTTGGGAGGCGGTTGGAGCATCACCACCGTCATCTGCGTGTTGATAACCAGCCCAAAGATCTCGCAGGCGGCGGTGAACAGGTCCATGCTGCGTTGCATCTCCGCTTCCGAGGTGGTGTTCAGGGCGCAGTCGTCGGCGAAGAGGAGTTCGTGCACGGTAGTTGTGGATACGCGTGATTGGAAGTTCATACGCCGTTGATTCAGGAGATGACCGTCCGTCCTGTTGGCGATGCGGATCCCGGGGCGTTCGTCGCGGTAGGCGTCCATCAGCATGGCAGAGAACATGAGACTGAAGAGAGTAGGCGCCAACCCACAGCCCTGCTTCACTCCGTTGGTCACTGCGAATGCCTCTGAGACAGCTCCGTTGTCCGTGACTCGCGCCATCATACCGTCGTGCAGCTGACGCACCATCTGAGTGAATCGCTCCGGACAGCCGAATTTCAGCATGATCTTCCACAGTCCTTCACGATTCACTGTGTCGAAGGCTTTCGTCAGGTCCACGAAGGTAGAGTACAGGTGGATCCGCATCTCCTGGCACTTCTCCTGAAGTTGGCGGGCGGCGAAGATCATGTCCGTGGTCCCACGATGACGACGGAAGCCGCATTGGCTTTCCGGCAGAAGGCCCTGTTCCAGATGGTTGTTGAGGCGGTTGAGCAGGATGCGAGCGAAGATCTTCCCGGCGATGTTCAGTAGGGAGATGCCGCGGTGGTTGTCGCAGACTTGGCGATTCCCTTTTCGCTTGTATAGGTGCACGATGGTGGCGTCCTTGAAATCTTGCGGGACTTCACCTTGACGCCACATCTCCTGAAAGAGCGCAGTCAGGTGATCCATCAGTAGTGGACATCCGTGCTTGTAGACCTCAGCAGGGATTGCGTCCGATCCGGGTGCCTTCCCGCTGGAGGGCTGCTGCACGGCCCTGATGGTCTCCTGGAGAGATGGCGGGAGGTCGAGGTCCACGTTGGTCTCCACTTGCGGCAAGCGGGCGATGGCGGCGTCGGAGATGACGGAAGGGCGGTTGAGGACGCCTCGGAAGTGCTCGGCCCATCGCTGCAGGATTTGCGTCTTCTCAGTCAGGAGAGTGCTGCCGTCGGCGCTGAGGAGAGGAGCAGTGCCCTTCGTCGGCGGACCGTAGACAGCCTTGATCGCGGAGAAGAAGTTCTTCCATTCGTTGCGGTCCGCGTAGCCTTGGATCTCCTCAGCTTTGCGAGCAGTCCAGGCGTCCTGCATCGCGCGCAGTCGTTGCTGAAGCTGTCGGCGACTGCGGTAGAAGGCAGCTTTGTTGTCCTCAGTGGGGTGATCTACGTAGGCTTTGTGGAGGCGGTTCTTCTCAGCAAGCAGATTTCTGATGGCGGCGTCGTTGTCGTCGAACCAGTCCTGGTGTTGGCGGGGAGCGCGACCGAGGACGGCGAGCGCCGTCGACTGGACCGTGTCTCGCAGTTGACACCATCGGTTCTCCACGGAGGTGTTCTCGGCAGCGGCGGCGGCGTTGTCGGCGGCAGCGATAGGAAGGTTGTCTAGCCGTTGAGATAGCTCATTGCTGAAACGGAGACGGTGAGCAGGCAAAGACAACAAAGCAACATTCAGCTTACCTGGGGGTCGCTTACCTTGTGGTCTCCTGCGAGGCTGTAGGCGAACACGCATCTTCGAGATGACGAGGCGATATTCGGTCCACCCGTCAGCACCCGCGATCGCCTTCGTCACCATCACGTCCCGCTGATCTCGCCTCCGGACGAGGACATAGTCCAGCAGGTGCCACTGACGCGACCGAGGATGCCTCCAGGTGGCCTTCTCTCGCTCCGGCAGACAGAAGAACGTGTTCGTCAGGATGAGGCGGTGTTCTGCGCAGGTGCGGAGAAGCAGCAGGCCGTTGTCGTAGGAGCCGCGGAGACCGTGAGGACCCAGCACTCCCCTCCAGTCTTTTCTGAGCACAAATCCTAAGATATATTTACAAGAATGACAAATGGATCTGCCGTAGGAATATATGTGGTTCAACCATCGCAGCCGCCGATGTCCACCGTGTGCTACACAGCGAGATGCAGCAGTCACGGTAACTTGCGCGTGAATTCGTTTATGGTGATTGTAGACTATCCGCAGTATCTACCGCATTCTCTCCTACTCCCCCCACCTGCACCCGCTGTCAAGACAGTGCCAGGAAGACGGGAGGCCGGACCCACAAATAGGCGTGTCACAACACCCTCTGGTCGTTAATATAAACTTCACCCACAAAAACAACAGGAGCCCAACAGGAGTCGGACGTACGAGGGTGACTGATCAGTCATGCCCGACACCTTAAATTCACAGGCAATGCAAGCGCATCTACTGGCAGTGAACCAGGTGTCAGCGTGTACCAGGCTGCGAGGGCCATAGTTTGTTGATGCTGCCATAGATCTGTCGACATAGAAGGGCGACACTTGTCCCTTCAGTTGGCCTGGGCGGTCACTCCTAAATGTTGAGTAACCAAGGAGACGTCGACTGGCAGCCATCACCAATGAAGCGCACACTATCTCCTCACATGCTTCAGAGTGTCACAGAACGCTTGAGAAGGAGCTATTTCAGCCTGGCTCACAGCACATTTGTCCGCCACTCCACACACTCGAGAAGACGCCGTGACAGCCTGACTGTCAGTCCATCGGTCAGCCACACCGAAAAACACACACAATTGGGCAGACTGTGTGGACAAGCCGTGTGTCGCCGAAGGTCGCCGCTGCAAAAGTGTAGTTGCAGATTGTTTACTCTAGTGTTCTGGCCTGTTCCTGCCCGTCTTACCCAATTAACGAGGGGAAATTGCGTTGATTGGACAGACTGCTGATGCTGATGATTGAGGATGAGATGGAGTCGTGCAGCTGGCAGTTGTCTGCCGCGGCCTTTCGTGAACGCGAGTGTGGCCGAATAGACACATGCGGTGAATAAATGTGTGAGTGGAATGTGGGCAGTGTTGGCAGGTACGACGGGTGTAGGTCAGTGCTCCAGGCACTGTTTCGCCAGCCTCTGTGCGATGGATTCGCAAATGACCAACCTGACCGAAATGTGAGGCGCAGGGTGGATCGCAAGTAGGCGGTGTATAGACCGGGTCCTTATAATCGGTGTTGGCGGTGGAGGTGGTGATGGTGTTTGTTAGTGTGTCACGATTATTTGTTGTGTTAATGGGCATGTCAGAAGCCACATCAGCAGATGTTGTGGAGGAGCAGGAAGGAGAAGAAGAAGAAGAAGAAGAAGAAGAAGAAGAAGATGGTAGTGATGGCACGGGGGGGCAATCCAGGTTAGTTGACGTTGTGGGAGGTGCGCGAGAGATGGAAGGAAAGACGAGGGTTGGTGCTGTCCGTGTGCCGCAGTCGGACCGGAGGTGTCCAAAATGTCCAATTGGCGTCCAGAATGCCCGTTGACACATTGTGGACATGTTGGAGCTGATTGGGCGATGGCGTTGTGAGGAGCCGGCGGTGGCAGCGACGAGGGCGACAGTCGATTTTAGAGTGTCCCGCTTTTGGACATGGCGGCTGCGGTGATGTGATTGGGTCCGAGGATTGTTGAGCCTGTCTTCACTGCTCTCATCCACGTTGGTCTGTCCCGGTCGGGGTATTCCCAGTTTGCCAGGTTTATCTACAGGCGCTTCAGAGGTATTTTCATTGTATGCTCTTAGTGCCAAAGAAGACTCTTTAAAGTTACCTGTCGTTTTCCATCCGTAATAGCTGGCCGCATTGCAGGTATGCTGAGGATCCCCATCCGGTCCGGTACGTCCGTGTCTGGGATCCCGTCCTGCCACCTCAGATTCAGTACTTGTCGAAGTCGGCTAAGATGGAGATGATTGAGTATACGTACCTGCTTCATGTACACAGTCCGGGTCCCCGGTCCATGTATCAACGTCGACAGGATGACTGCCTTGTTTATCTCTAGGTTCGGGGCTGATGTGAAGCCCGTAAGGATTCCAAGCTGCATTTTGAGAACTACTTTGGAAATGCGGCGGGCCACTTCATCGTCGATTTTGATGCCGCAGAAGAGGGTGCTGCCCACATACATGAAGTTCTCCGTCACTTGCAGTTGGGTTCCGCTCACGTTGGTCTCACCTCCGGACGAGGACAATGTTTAGTATGTGCCAATGACACGACCGAGTATGTATCCAAGGGGCATTGACGATGGAGACCCAGAATTCATCTCCAGGCAGCATGGTCTGCGCCGACGTGGGTGATAAAATCACCAAGGACAAGTCACCAAGTCGTCGGCTCAGACGCCAGGAGTGCGTGCAGTTCCGCGTAGAATTTGTTTCTCGTCTCGGCGGGACTGCTCATCGTCGGAGCGTAGATCCTGACAAGGATGGTAATTTCTCCACCCCAGAGAGGAAAGCGGAGGCTCATCAGGCGGTGATTGATGCCCTGCGGCAGACTGGGCAGTCGTCCCACGATGTCGTTCCGGAAGGCGAAGGTGACACCCGCGTCTCGTCGCTTTGCCCTAGGGCGACCTCCCCAGAAGAAGGTGCAACCGGCACCCACTTCCTCCAGTTGGCCTTCTT